TCTTTTTACTTTTGGTTTTGACTTTTACCTTTGCCTGCATGAATGACGAAACATGAATTGAATGATTGGAGAGTTAGATTTGGAGGCAACTTTCCCTTGATAAGTCTGTCTCCTGCCTACTCAACAGTCATTCACTTATGCATTTTTAAAAAAATTGTTTGGTTTAATTTTAATTTGTTAAATTAGTGAATTTATTTTCATGGATTGGTTTTGCACTTGATTTGCTTATGCTCTGAATTTAAATGATATTGTAGATTAGTTCGAGAATTAAATCTTTTATATGTTTGCACATTTTAAAAAAAAATTATTTTGGCTTTTTTTCTTTATTTTGGCTTTAAATTTGCTTTTTTACTTTTATACGTGTTTGTTAAAATTTAAATTTAAATTTGTTTAAATATAAATCTAATATATATTCTAAGTCTCGCTTTTGTGACATGAAAAACGCAAGTTGAATTTCATCAATCGGCCTAGTAGAACAGGAGATATAGAACTGTCCCTTTTTCTTTTTTATAGTGCACAATATACGAAGGGTGTTCCAGTATTGCAAGAAAATACATCCACTTCACAAACTGTGAGTCTCATAGTGAAGATTGTGCAGACACAGATTTGATTGTAATTCTAAAGCAGGATACTTAAGTTTGTAAAAAATCGGATTCTATTCATAACTCTGATGCAAACATCGAAATTGGTTTTCATGAAATAGAGATAAATAAGCATATACCAACTGCTAAAATTACCGTGATGAACTGTATGCATGATGCGAATAAACTACAGAGTGTAAATGTTTATTTCTTTGCAATGTTATTTGTTTCTTTCATTACATTTTGTTTGTATTGAATTTGGCTTTTGACCAAGGATTGTACTGCTCGGGACGTGCAGTCTTCGGAGGGGGCCATTGTTACAAAATGTAAAGGAGCGATGAAACAGTTTCCCTGCAAGGCAGCTTTAGGATTGCCAGAAAATGGCAAAGGAAAGTAGGATTGCTATATTTGGTGAGAAATTGGACATTTGGTGACAAAATTGGCGATATACCATAGACAGACGGATGGAAAACCTTCTAGAATGAATTCTTACCAGTTTGGACCAGAATGTTCTCAAAGGAAGCCCAAGAGTTATATAAACCATGTCTGCAGTAGCAGTCTGTTAATAGTTGTGTGAGTTAGTCAGTGAGTGAGAGTCTAATCTAATCAGTCAGTCAGTGCCTCGTCTAGCGAGTTGATTGTCAGTATAGTATCGAGTTGGTTGTCATGAGTATTGTGAGTGTAGCAAGTATTGTGCATTGCGAGCTGTAGTGTTCTTGAGAGTACCCGAGTTCCAAGAATGACCGAAGAGAGTCGGGAGCTGTACTTTGGTGCTTTGCCGTGAAGATTTCTCCACCGTTATAACCTGATAGCCTGAAGTCTTGAGAGGATGTAGAGTTCCGAGAACGACCGAACCGAGTCGGGAGCTGCACTCTGGTACTTTGCCGTGAAGCTGTCTTTACTGTTATAGCCTGAAGGCTGCGTTGCTGATTGTTTCAGCGTGTTTGTAGTAGTATTTTGATGACTGTAAATGTGATTTTGGAGTTCTCCTGTGCAATACTGGCTAAATAAATTGTGTCCAATTCTTCATCAAGTGTTGTTGTCAATTGCTCCAAATCCGAGAAAAAAATGCATGCATGTGTGTATGTATGTATGTGCATATATGTGTATATGCATATATGTGTATATGTATACACATACATTTGAGCTTACATATATACGAGGGCCATCCAGGAAGTAGATTACGTTTCCGTCTGTGTCCGCTAGGGGCGGGGCTAGCGCGGCCATCTTGGGGTCAGAGCGTTGCGCAGCTCAGTCTGCATCTAGCCGTGCTAGTGAGAGGTTCGTGCTGTGCTCCGTTCAGATACTGTGACGGTTTGAAATGTCTGCGTTAATTGAAAATCCCGCGAGGTGCGCTCAGTAATAAGGTTTCTGACTGCAAAAAACTGTAAACCGATAGAAATCTATCGGCAGCTTCGTGAAGTGTATGGGGACAACATTATCACTGAAGGTGGAGTGCGACAGTGGGTCATAAGATTTCAAAATGGCCGAACCAATGTTCACGACGAAGATCGAAGTGGGAGACCCAGCATAGTGACCGCCGAACTTCTCGAAAAAGTCGATGCTAAAGTCCGTGAAAATCGAAATTTCACAATAACGGAACTTTCTTTGAGTTTTCCACAAATTTCGCGAAGTTTGTTGCACGAAATCATCAGCGAACTGTGAAACGAAATTGCAATCAATGCAGTGGGGGCACACAAGTTCTCCCCAAAAACCCAAGAAATGCATGCAAACAATGTCGGCAAGGAAGATGATGGCGACTGTTTTTTGGGACAGAAAAGGTGTAATTTTGGTGGACTTCCTGGAAAGAGGCACTACAATAAACTCTCAAAGGTATTGCCAAACTCTCCAAAAACTCAGAAGAGCAATTCAAAACAAGCGCAGAGGAATGTTGAGCTCTAAGATCTTGTTGATTCACGACAACGCCCGGCCCCACAAGGCAAATGTCACACGTAAAGTTCTTGAATCTTTTAAGTGGGAGTTGTTTCCTCATCCGCCGTACAGTCCCGACCTGGCACCGAGCGACTTCCACCTATTCCCAGCAATGAAGAAGTGGCTGGCTATGCAGCGTTTTGATGACGACGCACAGCTGCAAGAAGAAGAGGTAACGAAGTGGTTGAAGGCGCAGGCGGCCGAATTTTTCGACGAAGGAATTTCCAAGCTCGTACATCGCTACGATAAATGCCTTAATTTGTATGGTGACTATGTAGAAAAGTAGTATTTGAGTGTGGCTTTCATCTGTATATAATAAAATTTGTTTCCTATACTTTGTTTATTTTTTTATTCCAAAACGTAATCTACTTTCTGGATAGCCCTCATACATGCATACATGAACACATACATCCATACATACATTTCTGGATTCTGCCCTGATAACAGAACAGTACCATCTATTAAAAATAGTTCCATGGAATTTTATAACAACTTGGTTGAATATACATGATAAATGCTTGTTGAACATTTAATACTGAAATAATAAAAAAGATAGAATAGGAATCAGTGAAATGTGTACCTAATAAATTACTTATCAAAACAATTTTAAATACTGTCATTTTCATAATTATACGATTACTAGCACTTCTGCAATGAAGTGCCACCTTGATCAGTCACCAAAATCAGAAGATTAATCAGCAGAATTGGCAAATGTAACTGGCAGATTTTTAACATGCAATACGTTTGTTCACCATTTTTAATTTTTAATCAGTTGGAAAAAAAGCACTAATTCTTAATGATTTTGTTCTGTGCATTCAATCTATTATGGTAATTTCATGAGTTAATTCATAACAATTTTCATGTGTTAAAATCTCACTTCAGACATCAAAAATTGCTGCATGCATATGGGTTCATAGTGGACTGAATGTACACAGAACCAACAATAGCTTGATAACATTTATTTTATGAAAAGAAGCACTTTACAGTTCTGGAACTTTCCACAAAACATACTAATACAGCTCTTTTCAGTATCACAGAGTACAATCAGTAGTTACACTACAAACTACCAAGAATGTTAAACACAACACAATGCAGAGCACATCTAAAAGGTGAAGCTCTCACAGATACTTCAATACTCCAAAGTCGATCTGAGCTAACAACTGACAGCAGTTGCTCTCTCTGGTTTTATACAGTTTCCACCCATCTGCTGAGAAGTCTCTAGTACACTTCATTTCACAAAATTACAGGATGGCATATACAGTTAAAGTTTTATCTAAGGCTGGATATGGTTGCAGTTGCACACAGGGATCAATTACTGTTATTCAATTACAATACCCAGTTCAGTTATACAAGAATCAGACCAAAATGTTGGCAAATGATCCCCATGTTTGGCGGGTGGCAAAAATTAGTCACCACTGCCAACTTGATGATATCTCGCCAATTATCAAGATAGTCATTTACCTCAATGTTAAATATTCTTGCCAATGCAATCTTATTTTTCTGGCAGTTCTCTCAAGCATTTCATATTGCATTATACATACTACAATTTTACTAAAATTATATATACAAAACTCAAAACAATATTTTTATAACATACACCATATTTGATTTTAACACTACTTTTGACTCTGTGATATTATTCCTTCATTATTTTTTCCCCCAACAAAATGCTGACGATGTTTAACTTTCCATCAAGGGGAAAATATGCAACACTTCTTTCATGATATTGTTCATTCTTTTGTATTCTTCGTTATTTTTTCACATCAACTGAAGGAAAGGCAGAGGTTTTGCCTTCAAGAGCATGGAACTTTGTACATTGTGTGAAAGTGAAAAAATGGTCACCAGTTAGTTCACTGGAAAGTAAAGTATTTAACTATAAATGAAACTATAAATGAAAAACATAACTATAAATGAAAATTTTAACTATAAATATAACTGCTTCTGTTTTTCATTTTAACTATAAATGAAAAACAGAAGCAGGAAAAAAGTCTTAGTGCTGAAAATTTGTTTCATGGTTCCAGGACCCCTTTTCACACTAATTTACTTCATATACTGTTAGGCTGAAGAACTAGCATCCCTTAATGAAGTAATGCACTAAAGAAGGATATTGCATAAGCAGTATCAACAAATTTTACAAATTAAGATTTAAGTTCAACCACTTGGAGATGATATAAATACTTTCATGCAAGATCTACTATGAAAAATAATGATTCACAACTAGGTATTTATACGAACATAGTGCAAAAAGAATACACACATGATACATCCATGATTACAAAACTGCTACTGAAAAAGATCTTGTTGCACATAGCACATAAATGCGACTTAAAGTTAGTAATAATTCAATTAATGTTACACTTAATAAGCTTTTTAAATAGTGAATCCTTCTTTAATTCAAATAAACAGACTGATAACAATAATGAGAAAATTACATATATTAAATGAACCTATCATATATACTGCATAAAATCTATGTTGCATGCATACCTTGGGTTATTTTGGCAATAATTCCACACAAGCTATTGACTCCTGTTGAAATATTAAAATACATTAATGCAATAGTTTTTCACAGAAATGGCAATCAAATTTAAATAAGTGCATAACAAAGATTAACATGCAGTTAGTAAAATAATTAGGCATATGAAGTATTATAAAAGTCAAACTCTAGTAAATTAAGTGAAATTCACAAATAACTTTAGAAATACAATTATGTATACACCAAACAAGAATTTCCTGCAGAACACCAAACAAGAATTTCCTGCAGAAAGTTTTGTACAATTCCACAATCTAGTACAAATTGAAGATGAGAAAAAAATATACCTTTATTATAAGTGTTGTATTTGCAAGTCTTCAACACAAAACAAATTCAACTAATTGCATCCTTAACTTCCAATCAGAATTCTGAGTAACTTTTTGCATTTTACACTGTTATAGTGAACCCCTTGGGATATAAATAACAAACTTTTTGGTCCTATACAGTTGGTTCCCTGCAGATTTAATGTTATTTTATCCGATTATAGTGAACTTCCAAACACATAAAAATCGAATATAACCAACTTAATATCCTAGAATGAAAGTTTTTTGTATTGTTACATGCATATGGGTTTGTAATGGATTGAATACACACAGTACTGATAACAGTTTAATGAAATTAATTTTCTAATTCATAAAGAAAAAAAAAAAAAAAAAAAAAAAAAAAGGACACTTTGCAGTTCCAGAGCTCTTCACACAAAAGTATTTATACAGCTCTTCTCAGTACAACAAAGCACAACCAGTAGTTACCATTTCAAACTACTAAGAATGGTAAACACAAGGCAATACACAAAGTCTCAAACATGTAAACTAACACCGTAATCTCTCACAATACTCTAAACTGAAAACTTATGCTCTCTCTGGTTTTATATAGTTTTCCCCTATCCACCTAGAAATTCCCAGTAGCTTCAATATCTCGAAATTGCTAAAAGACATACAAAGTTACGTAGGGATTGGATCAGTTATAGTCACACAAGGATCGGCTAAGTTTGGCAACTTTTGGTGATTTCTTGATGAATTTGGTAACAAAAATTAGTTGGCAAAACCAATGCCAGCTTGCCATCAAGCTGGCTACTGGGATAAATGGCTATCTTGTTAATTTGATGAGATAGCCATTTAACTCAATGTTAAATGGACTTACCCCTTAACCTTAGTTTTCAGGCAAAACGTTGCAGCCTGAGGTCTTTCATGTTACACTATGCAATAGATACTACAATTTGCATATAATTTCATTAAAATTATAAAAATATTTTTCAAAGAATTTCAGCAGTTTTCAATTGAAAAATTATGCCTTAAATTTAGCCTGCTTAGAATATTAGAATAACAAAAAGAATCTTTTCTTTTATTTGCATAGCATCTTTCTCTGTGTTCTAAATATAAGTTGTGCAAGACAGGTGCAGCACTCAAATCTGGAAAACCAAGACATACTAATAAATATATCTTAGGAGACTAATAAATTATCTTATACTAATAAATTACCTTAGGAGATCCTACTATGTAAGGCATTGAGCTGAGAACCATTCACCCACTGAGATAAAGAGCTTAACCTGGTTCTCTGATGGAGCTGTCAGACAGCATTCTGTTCAAGGCTGAAGCTTATTCATAATAATAAAAGTGTATCTTAGACAAAAATGTATAAGTTGAAGGATTGGTTTAAACCATGACATTTTATGGAAAAAAATGTTTTTTGGATAAATTATTAGCATACAGTGAAACTGAAAATAAGCAAAAAAATAAATTTATTAATTGCACATAATAATAACTGTAATTAATATTTACTATTTCTTTTTAACTAATTGTATTATTAAGACCTTTTAGGAGATGTGACAGTGCTCATCAATCTTTCAGTGTGATTTATGAATCAATAGTTTTTCAAGTGCAACTATCATCTACAGTGGAAGGAAAATTAAAAACTCGTGCAGATAAAATTATTTTTTTCCCAATCTCTTTGTTAGAAGTTGACAAGAAATGCTCCAAAAATGTAAATTCAAGGAAACATGTTGTTAATAGGCATTTTATAGCTGAAATATACTTATACCTGCAAGTATAGTTTAAACTCTGCATTAAAGATAGTCCTTGTTCTGGGTGGATAAAAATTCACTAAACAAATCGTAAATCTGCAGTTTTTGAGAAAAATCTGAATGAAAAATTTCACATTCAGCATGAATAGTAAACTTTCATAAACAGAAATGAAAGATACTGACTTTATGCATTTTATGATGGATAAAAATTGATATTCAGCCCACACCTAAGCTATGTTTTGAAATGTATTCCTTTTATATAGTGATTAAAAAAATCTGATCTGTACACCACATGACTTCCTTGTACGGAATATTAAATTATATGCATTTTTTCTTGCATTTCATGTAAACGTATTGGAGTGAACTAAATCTAGTTCGCCGATAGCGCATAAACCACAATAGAATAAATGCACCCTTTAAAATTCACTATATTTGTTTACCATAGTGACACTCTGATGCCAGGTTCACTTAACAGTGTAACATTTCGTTCATAAAACTCAGAATGCAATTTATAGCATTTGAAGAATTATCTCATCATTGCCACATGTTCCATTCAAATAAATTTAAATGATGAATAAAAGAAATTAAACAAATAAAACAAAAAAGAAATAGTTTTTCAAAGACAATTTGGTATTTTTCATTCAATTAAATCAGTTCTCACTTTCGACAAGGCAAAAATACATAAAAACTCAAAATATCTATATTAAAAATTACGAAGTAAATCTTAAACATGTATTTCCTCGAAAAAATTCTAGAAAGGAAGCATGATTTAATTCACAATAATAAATGAAAGTGTTATCTGTGTTGTTGCGAAGCTTAGTCTCTCTAAATTTGCAACAAATCTACTATTCTGCTGTTTCAAATGTAAACAAACATGACCACCATGTTATTTAAAAATTTGGCTTAACCGCACTTAAACAGCTTTTAAACTGTTGCTAGTTCTACAAATACTGCTTGCAGATTTCCTAAAGGCATAAAATCCTTAACCAGAAGATAAAAAACAACATAATTCAATCATTTTTAAAACAAAAAATGCACAATTTACAAACACATAAGAGTAAAGAAACAGAGATAACTGAGCCAGGTAACAGAGTGGATATACATATAAATATATTTATATACGTTTGGTGCGGCCGATGGCAACCAAAATACGAGGTGCACATCTACATGTTATAGCAGTCCTATATACAAAATTTTAACGACACCACAAAAAATTCTCTTCAGAATTCATTTTAAAGCAGTTATATATATATATATATATATATATATATATATTTGAGGAAAGGAGTCTTTTATTCTGTCATTATGTACAGATGTCATGCAAAAACATCATCAGCTTGCATTTGATAGCGGTCAAAATGGATAATTTCATTGAAATATGCTGTCTGAAAATTTTCGCAATTACAATACTTCCTTTTTACTTAGGAAGTAAAAAGAATATTAAAATCTCTTTAATGGAAAAAGTTTATAAATATGCAATAAGCAATTTGTTTACTTTTTCTAAAGATTAACCCAGTTTTAATAACATTTACAATTTTTATCTTAGGAACTTTTCTTTTTTAACTTGGTATATGACATTAGATGAAATCATCAGAATCATACCTTTATCTTCTATTAGGTTGTTAGAAAGATCAAGAGTATGAAGTGGAGTGTGTGGATTAGCTATCAATGCCATGGACAATTTATAAGCAAATTCCCTGTGTATAAAAAAGAATGTTTAATTAATATTTAATTGTATAAAATGAAATTAAATTTATTAAAATAATAAAATTTAAAACAAAAGTAATCCTTTATTAGCTAGTTAAACATTTTTTTTTTCCAAATAAACTCAATTTAATAGGTAATTTTGAAGAGAACTATATTTACCACTTTAATCCAGTGTTGTCAAGATACAGCTCTTCAAGAGCTACAGATCTGCGTAACACAAGTAACACCACATCTAAAGCTTCAGACACCTGAAATAAAAACAGTTATTAATCTATTCTAAAGCTACTTTAGAAAGGAAATGCTTGAAATGTTTACAATCATAAGTAAAACAAGTAATTTTTAAATAGATGTTTAATTAACTGTTTAACAGATTTATATTGAGGTGGGGGGGAAGAAGGTCACTGTAGATTCAAAGGAAAGAGCATCTTAAAAGACCATATACTTTGCTTAGATGCAACAAAATTCCTTCGAGATCAGAATGACAATAATAAATGAATCAGAATGACAAAATATAAATAACACAGTTTGTGATCTCATATCTTTTACTTTTTTTTCTGAGACGCCTAGAAAAAAGTATATACGTCAAGGGCTCTTTTTTATATCAGAAAATAATGCTATTAGTTAGTATAGTAGACTCTTGATGGTATAGTAGACTGTTGATTTATCAGAGGTAAATTAAATGGGTTGCAGTTCAACCAGGCCCTTAGCTAAAACAACCATTTGTTTATTGAGGAATGAAGGAAAATTATTATCACAAACCATCAGTATAAAATAAAACTTTTTACAATATATATAAAAACAGAAAAAAAGAAAGCATAGAATAACAGCAGTGATAACAAATGATGTTATAACACTTGGTATAATGCTTTTAGCCAGAAATATTTTAAATCTGGAATATATAAACATTTAAAATCCTTTGCTAAAAATAAATTCCAACAGAAATGCAGGAATAATATAAACAAATACATACAGTACAGGCACTGGCTCAACAATGAGTAATTGAGAGGTGCTTTTTTATTGGATTCAAATTTTTAGTCAAGGCTTGTTATTTTTGACACATTAACCTGAATTATAGAAAATCTGAATGCTTTTAGATTTAATATTATGCCCAAACAGGCGTTTTTTAACACTTTATGTATTACTGAGTTTGTTAATCAAAAATTCTTTAATGTTTGACAAAATATGAAATAGATAATGAAACAAATTCCAAATCTGGGCTTCCAGATGGCCATATTTGAATGGAGGGCTACGTTATTCAAAATTTGATGTCTCTACGTACCGTTGTTTTTTCATAGTGAGAGAAACATACATACATACATTCATGCAGATTCTTCATTATGTAATTTCTTTAAATATAATGCAGAATAAACATTTGGCAGCAACAATTTGAAAAGTGAACCGATGCAAAATGCCAAAACGAAATTAATAGTCCTTCTGGGAAAATTGCCCCTTTGGGCTAAAAAGAGTTTGCACTTGTTGATATCATTTAAGTTCTCAAGTACTTGATTTTTTTAACTCCACTTACAATTTATTTTTCATAATTCTAATGATGCTTTTTCTTCTATTATTTATGACACATTCTTTTTGCTTTACATACTGATTTAATTTATATAACTAAATAAATTTATTTTTCGGTTTCAACTGCTTGAAAATAAGAGTTAAAATCTTTTAATAGTATTTTTCTATTTATTTTTATGTTGATTATTCCTATATCATATAGGTTATAATGTCATCTAATTAATCAGGATTTTGCATTAACTGTGGATGTTGCCCAAAGTATTGCTCCAGTTAAGTTACTATATTTTCATCACACACACATATATATATAAAGTGTACTCTGGTGAAGATTATATTATATCTGGGTGCAGATTACCTGTGCAGGGCTGTACTCATGCATGCACACTCAATGCTGTGTGCATAAGTGTATATAAAACAAGCCCGCACAAGTTCAATTATGGAGAAAAATTCTTCCTAATATCGAAATTGGAGACTTATCTAACTGTGAAGAAGTGGAAGCAATAATTGAAGGCACATGTTAAAAAAAGAAAATGCAAAATTCTTCGAAAATGTTGATTGAGAAAACATATCGGGGAATAGTTTGATGGTGATTCAACTGTGCCTAGCTTTCAATGTTTGAGTGATGCAGTTATCGTTTCAAATGTCACAAGAACAGACAAGGTAAGGAGTGATGCTGAAAATACAATTGAAGAAAATGTTAACAATTACATTAGTCCTAAGATAGCAGTGATTTCTGTTGAAATTCTACTGGACTTTGATGACCAAAGGGGACTCATATACAATGATAAAATAGCATTAAAAAATTGGCACTGAAATGTGACAATTATTTAAACGTTCTTAAAAAAATTAAATTACACTTTTTTTTACATACAATATTGATAGTTTGGATTATCCGTGACCTGCTTCCCCAGCATTAGCCTAGATAATCAAGAGTACACTGAATACCTATTTTACACTGCATGTAAGATAATTACTCAGTTTTACTTGTATTCTGAAGTTGAAATACATCTTTCTCTCATATTAATGAACCATCATACAAAAATTTTTTGTAAGCCCTAATTTAATTTACTTTCTTTTGTAAACTGAAAACATGTTACAATACATGTCACATAAAGTGATCATGGTTAATGTTGCCATTTGAATATTGTTACCAAATTTGTGAAGTGACATCCATTTTGTACATGAAGACATGGAAAATACATCACTTACTGTGATCGACAATTCGTTAATATTATCACAATATTATAGAAAATATTTTTTAGATTGAAGTGAAGTTGCCAAATAAGTTTAGAATGCATTATAAAAATTGCCACATTACAAAGAAATTTTGCCAAGAGAGGGATTAAGACACCAAATATCTTGGATTTCGATTTTAGTCAACCATTTAAAATTGGGGGTAGGAAACTCTAGTTTGATGTAGATTTTCAATAAAACTATTGAATTTAGGGCTCTTTTCTTCAGCAGCAAAAACATCTACACCAAACTAAGGTTGCTTTGGCAAGTTCTCTTCTAATGAAGGATGCCCTCTGAGTATCAAGATAAGAGGAACAGCATCGGCAGAATAATTTCTAGAAACATTCATTAATATACTTTTGCATTAAAGATATTATGAAGAGTTCATAAACAAGCTTTTGCATCTCCCTCATTAAAATGCTAGGAAAGGTTATTTATATATTCCTATTTATATTTATATCAAATTATTTGAATTCCATAGCTATTTTGGAGGTTATTTTTTCGTCATCCTTTATTATTATCAAAATAGCAGTGGACAAACATCACATCAAGTGGCACCTACTGTATCTAAATTAAAAACTGGCTATGTAATGATTTACACTAATAGTTATTTTGAAGCCAGAAGGTAGAAATCAAGATATACAATTGATATTTAGCAAACTGACTGAAATATCTGACAATGAAGTGCTGTATTACTGAATTACTATAAAAATTATAAAATTTTTTCTTGATTTAACCCAAAGGATAAACTTTTAAAATATGCAAGATAATATTATACTGGGCATTTTTCACAAAATTTTAACACAAATGGCAAATGAAATATTTTTAAGTATTTTTCTTATGTTCTAGTCATTTGTTTTATTTAATTACTACAGTCAAAAGTCGTTAATCCGGACTCGTCTGGACGATTGGCGATTCTGGATTATCGATTTTTCCGGATTATAGATCATCAGTTTAAATTTCGTAAGATGGCATGCAGAAATTCTAAAATTAAAAATATGAAACCGTAATTTATGAAATAAAGAACAATTATGATCTAAAGGGTATCAAAATTTACAAAAAAAAAAAAAAAAAAAAGCTTAATATTTATTTGTTTACTTTATTAAACATTTCTTTCAATGTAAGTTGTTTAAGTTGCTTCGTTTTATGTGATAATACTTTCTCCTTAATTCTATAAACAGACATAATTTCTTGTTCAGTTACAAAGTTCCGCTGTTCAAGTCCCGTTGATTGCTGTGCCGAGAATACCGACTAACTTGTCAATCGAAATTCTTTCGTTTTCACTAACCTCTCTGTCACATTCTTCATGTCTTTATCCAGTTTTTGGAGCAATTCCACTTTTTATTTGTTGGACATCGAAACATACTTTCGTTTTGTAGATCCTTTGGAAGTTCCAGCATCGGAAATTCTATTTGACATAATCGAAATTTCAAGTTTACTTTTATAAAATTGCTCTTACAGTCTGCAAAAATAATAAGTGGGATCCAATTCGAAGATTATGCAATCATTAACATTAACTGAAATAGATAATTAGATAAATTTTAGCCATCCGTTATACATTAAACGCGCAGGCGAAAACGTATTCTGCACTTGCGCACACGCATATGCGCAGTAGTCAAGGTCTTATGCGCATGGGTAAAACGCCTGTGCGCATGTGCCAAAGCGGCGCATGCGCAGAAAGTTTTTAGCTTTGAGGTCTGGATTATGGGTGTCCGAATTAACGACTTTTGACTGTATATAGCTTGTAATAATTATCATGTCAACTTAGACAATATTTTAAAAATTAGTAAACTGCAAATATATGTATATACTGTTATGGATCACATTATACACACATTGATTGTGTTATGTGATTCAACACAGTGTCATAGAATAAACAACTATGTGCAGCTTAATCTTAAAATTAATTCAATTTTAGTTTTCCCAATGATGGATGTGACCAAATAACTAGAAACAGTTATGTACAAAGATAAACACATTTTGTAAAGAAACTGGATATATTGTTTCAAATAATTAATAATATTTAAATTATCAAATACTGCATAACTTACCAATTTTATGCCACTGGCTCGAAACTTTGTAAACCACGTATTGAACATTAAAGCAGATATTATTGGCATAAGATCCCTTTAAAAAATATACAATATATTAAATATATAATAAATCAAGTCAGATGATTTTATCAAACATTACAAAGTGTAAAAGAATGATAGCTGCATCTGGGGAGTAGACTTACCTGCCATCAAGATGATCAAAATCTAAAAGGGACAATTCTTTACTGTCATGTGAAAGATATATTGTATCAACATCCTAAAAAAGAAAATTAAGAAACTTAAAGTCTTGACAACATTCACATAATAACAACATTTAATGCAAAAAAAATCAAATGAAACATATTCAAATTTAACATATTTATTAAAAAAAAAAAAAGATTTGTCTACTTACTCTGATTTACAGAATTAAAACAGTGAAAACAGACTGTTAGAAACTTTATTTCTAGTCTTTCCTCTTAAATAATAATCTTTTTCATGTAGTAGGAAGGGGGGAGAAACTGATTTATTTTATTTCAATTTTACTTATAATAAAGGAGTATGGTTTATTATTTTATTTAGGATTATTTAGGAATTTTTAATAAATTACCTTTATTTATTTAGGAATATTTACTAAATTTAGGAATAATTTTATAAATACTCACTTACGTACTAATATTGTCAAATATAACACACACCAAGCTTCACAACCAGTACCTCTCTAAAATTCACTCGAAAAACTTTCCCTAAATCTGCATTTTGTATCAACTTATAATGACAGATCCCGTCTTTCACCATGTTGCTAATAAATTACATATTTTGCCCCGAAGAAAATTAAAGAATCTAAATTTTCCAAGTAATATTCACTGTTATATCATCTATGTTTCCAAGTAATATCCACTATTATACTACCTAAGTTTCAAAGTTTATGTTTGGGCAAATTTAATGCCTCATAATGCTAGCATACATTTATTTCAGCTCTTCAACTTACATCAACCTGATTAACATTTCCCCTTCAAATGTGAGTATTCTCTTATTTCCCCCTTTCACATGAATTATTTTCCTGTATTCTATATCCTTATGTTTATGATACTGTAAATTGGCTATACTTTTTGTGAGAAAATGTCATTACAAAGAAATGATAAACTTCATATCATTTGTAGCTACAATTCACTCTGACTAGAATTTCAATTTTTCTTATAAAAAGCTGAAAGCCAGTTATAATACTGAAAAGTATTATAACTGGCTTTCAGCGAGCTTTGACTGAAGTTAAACACAACTAGTATTGATATTGGAATTTATGACACAAAACCTTTCCATACCTTGGTGTCATAATTCCATACACAAATAAGTTACAAGCACACACATTAGAAAAAGACAAGTTTAAAATAACAGCACACTTACTGACCTGTTTTCTCTTGTGTCACGAATTTTTAAGTGTGTTAATTTTTTTTTAAGTACTCAATAATTAAGTATTTTATTTGCATTTCATTTAAATTTGAAATTGTAAAGAGTGCATTTGTAAGTGTTAACAGCTTTAGCTGGTTATTTTGTCAACGGTATAATTTTGTAACAAAGACAGGATGCCTTTCTTTTGATCATTTCTTTGAAAGGAAATGACATCTGTTTAATGGCTTTTACGATAACAAGAGTACTGAGGGAAGTATTGTATGCTTTTGAATATTTTTGAAGGGGTTTTCTTTGCTAATGGGCAGTAAAAGAGTCATAAATGTTGGCCTTCTCTTTTTCACTTGCACTCTTGCCTTGTGAACGTTGCAATGATTCAATGAATCAGTTTCTTTCGGACATAGGTGTTCAGTAAATTTTCGTCAATTTAATCTTATCGTTAGTTTTCTCGCCTATTAGCTGGGGGGAGGGGTCGATTTCTTTCTCACATTCTGGGTGCAACTGGTGCCAGCCATGCCTTTGTTGTATGACTCTATTTTGATTCGTTTGATTGGGTGTAGTTTTTTAGTTAAATAACAAGTCTAACATTGGTGAAATTTAATTTTATGCAGAATTTTTGGACCTATGGTTTTTATGGGGTGGAGAAACCTGAGTTTTCTTTGGAAATCACATGAGGTTAGACGTCAGTCAGATTTGGGGCTGCAGTGATGTAAAGTTTCATAAAAAGTGTGTGGAGACATTTGCCCTGCAGCAGGGGTTTATGTCCTATTGCGCCTGCGGTCTGAGGCAGGGTTTCTCTCGGCTTTCAGCTAATGAGAATTTTAGTTCAAACTGAGAAAGTGCTCTACACAAAAGATAGCTTCGCCGTTTCTTCGTCGCATGTGCCGAGAATTGTAAATACATATTCTCGAGGTATCCAGATAAAAGTATTCGTCGTGATTATTCTTGCTTTTTCTGACCCATGATTCTCCAGATAGATCCTTCAAGGTGTTGTCCTCATTTGTTGAACTTTATCCTGATAAAGGTTCCAGATGTAAAAAGAAACTTCCAGATACCAGTACAGTACAAAGTCCAAAATCTGGACTCGTCGGGACTCTGGCAACTCCGGATTTGGGATTTTTCTAGATATTAGATTATCAGTTTAAATATAGTAAGATGGCATGTAGAAATTATAAAATTACAAATATGAAATCGTGATTTATGAAATAATGAAGTATTTATGATCTAAAGGGTATCAAAATTTGCCAAAAAAATTTTTACCTTATTAAACATTTCTTTCAATGTTGTTTAAGTTGCTTTGTTTTTTTTTGTGCTAACACTTTCTCTTTAATTCTGTAGACAGACATAATCTCTTGTTAAGTTACATTGTTGAAGTCCTGTAACTGCTGTTTCGAGAATTCCGGCTAACTTGGTAATTGAAATTTTCTCATTTTCAGTAACAGTAATTAATTTTTTCTCTGTCACTTTCTTCACTATATGTAGCTGTATTTTTTGGATCTAGAACCATACTACAGACTTCACCATTCATTAACTGATTGATGATTGAGAAGTACTGTCATCACAAAGAAAAACTTCTTTTATATCATCTTCATTTATTTACTGCTTCTCCACATTTCTTTACAAAATCCCTTAACTGAAAAATTTCACCTTTGTTTTGCGATACCCGAAAACCTATAAAATTAACGGCTATCATCATCATCAAATGTAGCTATCCTTCACTATACGTATTTATTTGGATATGCATCATGAGATTGGTGACTAACAACAAGTGGTTCCGTTAAATTTTATCTTACTTCTATTGTGTACTGAGACAATTAAGCCTGAACTGTATTAGGTTAGTTATTTTTTATACTTATATCTATTTCTTGCACATGCTTAAGGCTTATCAAAGTTCTGAATAAATAAATTCCCGCATGTACTTAAACATTATTGAGGGCCGGTGCTAGATATCTTAACGCCTGATGCAGCCTCTGTGGGTCCTAAATTCTGCGACTCGGTGCGGCTGTATGAGACCTGGTGCTGATTCTAAGTTTATGTGAATAACAAATCAGTTATTCTTAATTCAGATAGCCCTAAATATAATCTTTGGGTCTATGAGTATCATCAACAAAATCTATTTTTAGCATATAGTTGTCACGTTATGATAAACATGCGGTGATGAAAGGAAAGTATAATAAATAATGATTCACCAGGTTGGCGTCAGATCAACGATGCATCTATATGGAATGGTTCGGTTTGAGATGTGTGCCAGGCAGATATGCAGCAATGGAGCCAAATTACTGATCATACAAATTTATGCTAAAATGACTGTTTCTTCAATAACAAGGTATTTTATTTAGTGTCAAAGTGAAATAAGGAATCGGAACTCTCCAGATGTTTTACTATGCGCGGAGGGGGAATCAAATGTGCCTGCGTAAAGCCTATGAGAAAAAAGGTTGTTGGTGGTTTTGAGGTCCGGATTTTAGATCATTCTGGATAATGGACATCTGGATTTCGGATTCTGTACTGTATTTGCCCTTGGGTCTTGATTTTTATTGAAACTTGTCAACAAAATAAGATGGACAATCTGTGGAACTACTAAAACTCTTTATTAATCAGTCGATGATGGCATACCTGAAAAATAGGAGTGTGATGTATGAACTTCATCCTGTGAGTGATGCTTTTTCTTTCTTGTCTTTTCCATTTACAAATATACCAAAAGGATGGCATTCCCGAGCAACAGGAGGGTGATGTATAAATTTCAACCCTGCGAGTGATGATTTTTATCTTTTGTCTTTTCCATTTAAAGATATACCAGAAGGATGGCATTCCCGTAATAGGAGTGTGATGTATGAACTTCACCCTGTGAGTGATGATTTTTATTTCTTGTCTTTTCCATTTACAAATACACCAGAAGAATGGCATTCCCGAGTAATAGGAGTGTGTTGTGAGAACTTCATCCTGTGAGTGAATTATTTTCAATTTTCTTTAATTTAATAATTAATTTAAATACTCAAGCATGAGCTGTCATTTTAATGTTTGATGAAAATTTGAATATTTGCTGATACTTAATGGTTTAGAAAGTGATTATTAGTTTAAATGTTTAACTGCCATGAATCATTACTTATATTTAATTTTAGATAATACAATAGATTTGAGAAAATCTCAATGTTTCTTAAAGGAAATTAATTTGATAAAATATTAAATGTTTCAGTTTGTGTACAGAATAATCATTTGTTCTGTTAAATTGGATATCTGTTCTATTGAAATAACTTGAATGTAATAATGAAGAATATTACTTACTGTTGTATGTGAAGGAGCTGATCAGTTAGTTACCCAGCTATCAGATTTAAGATAATCTAGAAAATAATAAATGTGTTTTATAATTTTTATTACATTTGCTTATTTTGCGTGTTAACTTAATGTGGTGTGTTATAGTCACTCCATTTGTTTAAGACATGAGGCTTTTAAGAAGCATGGAAATTTGTTTAACTTGGGGTATAGCTGATATCTTTCAATAGGGTTATCACAATGCGCCCTTAACTTGTACTAGCCACATATTATAATTATCTGAATATGTTTTGGGTTTAATGATAAATGATATTTAGGCACCGGGATTCTAATTAAACTGATGATTGATTTTTCTTTTGAGGGACTGCTTGTTACTACAGTCAAAAGTCGTTAATCCGGACTCGTCGGGACTTCGGCGATTCCGAATTATCGATTTTTCCGGATTATAGATCATCAGTTTAAATCTGGTAAGATGGCATGCAGAAATTATAAAATTAAAAAATGAAACCGTAATTTATGAAATAAAGAACAATTATGATCTAAAGGGTATCAAAATTTACAAAAAAAAAAAAGCTTAATATTTATTTGTTTACTTTATTAAAC